AAATATGTGCTGTCATACTTAATACTAAAATATGAAAAAGATGAAATTAAAGGACACAGGTTTAAATGAACATATTTTTGAATGTAATTGAGATATTGGCTTGAAATTTTTTTGTAAAGGGTCGAGAATTTCCATATCTAACTAAAAAATGATATTAAGGGATAAATATGGACTAAATTGTTGTAGCTATCTGCGATCCTATTAAAATTTTGATATAAATCATAGTTTTAGAAATTAAACAAATATGTAATATATGACAAAATCTTTATTTATGAACAAAACTCAATGAAATTTTCAACGCTTGTTAAATTTGTCATTTCAAATAAGAATATGCAAAAAAAAATTGAAAAGGTCAAAGGGCATCCCGCAATTCCCAAAAATAGGAATGAAAATCCCAAAAATGGGATTTTTTACTTTTTCCACATTTCTTTTAGGGCTGGGAAAATACTTTTGGAGTAAATAGAAAACATATTGAGGTTTCCAAAACTGCTTTCAGTTTTCTGATCCCAGCTTTGGGATTTTAGAACATGTCGCCCAAAGTTGAAGTTTTGATAAAAAATAGGTCATATTCGGAAGGACGCAGTGGCAACATTTTCAAAAAATAGGACAAGTTTTTTACGCCAAAGCGTTCTGCGTAAAGATACCTTTTAGAAAACTATAAAATTGTTATATGTTCTTAATAAAAATTTTATTTTATTAATAAAAGAGTTAAGACACATTTTTGGCAAAAAAACGCCAAAAATCTAAAATTTTTTGAATTTTTAAATTAAAAAACGTATATTTTTGGATCTGTAAACGATATTGATCTGAAATTTTTTGTATATTATTGGAAATTTTGTTGTCTAACTAACAAGAAAAAATTGAGTTCATTTGGTCCAAAATTACGCCCGGTATTCAAAAAAAGGCGGACCAAGGTATGGTAAATTTTGTATCACTAAATTTTTAAATGCCTATAACTCGGATATTATAAGAGATAAGTAGTATGTCCAAGCATGTTTTTTCAAGATCTCGTCGAGCGCTTTCACAAAATATAAAAATCTTTGTATTTGGGTGAAAAACAAAAAAATGGCACGAGTTTAAAAATTTTACATGTCGTAGGTACCTTACTTTGAGCCGCCACAGCCGTCCCTGGGGCATCTGCAGGGTTCATCTTCAAAACTTAAACTCGAATACTCCTTGGCTACGCTCACGCCAAATTTTATCCCGATCGGATCAGCCGTTTAGAAATGCCAGATTTATTTCCAAAAAATTTCCATTCTGCCCCACTGTGGTCTGTGAAGAAGAGGAAATGTTATTGTTGTAAAACAATGTCATAGTCCAACTTCTTATTATTCTTTGGGCCCGACTTTTACATTTTCTTAAATAACCCAGCAAAAACTCGGTAGTGAATTTAAGTTGTAAGATTTACCTAATATCATACTTTTCAATGACTACAACATCTTGTTCTGATTACATATAAGTAGTCTAATAACATCTTATTAATAATGTTTTATATAAATACTTTCTAATGTTGACTTATGACATCTTCTCCGTGAAGCTATAGAAGCTGTACATGTTTTAACGTACTATTTACATTGACTACTTTTTCTAATTATTAGTAAGCGGTTGTGGTAAGTACTTGCCTCCAATGACATTACCATGTTAAAATAATGACTTAAAATGATATTGTGTAAGTAAATTTTAGCATGTTAACGCCTTACATGGTAATGAAACTTTTTGCTGTGAACAATTTCAGATAGGGAAAGAAATGACTTCAAATGGTTTTGGTAAAAAACAGCTTACAGGTGGAGTGTATTTAAGATTCGTCATAGCCAAATATAACACTCTAACTGAAAGAATAACTACCAGTTAAAAAATAACTGAAGGTGGTGAAAATGGGGGTAAGTATTGTATATTTTATAAATCGTAGCAAGAGTATTTCGGTGTATTATCCCAGCAAAAAAAGTGTGGAACAAGTTAGAGTGCTATATTCAGCTGAGCTAAATCTTAAATACCCTCCACCAGCTATTTTATATTAATACTTTTTATACCCTCCACCACCATCAGTGGTGATAGAGGGTATATATAACTTTGTCATTCCGTGTGTTAGACCCAGAAATATTCATCTGAGACAAAGTATATATATCTTGGACCTTATGAAATTCTGAGTCAATCTAGCTATGTCCAACCTGTCTGTATAAAACATTCTCACGCTAATATGAAGCAACAAAAATTAACGAATTTCACCCAAAATATTTATTATTGTCCCTGGCAGTTTGGTATTGAAAATGAGCAAATTGGGTTCACATCGGGAAAAGTTATGAATCAAAATTTGAAAAAAATGCGAAAAAATTAAGTTTTTTTTTAACATATTCTAATGTCATTTTTTTTTATACAAGAGCTTTATTTCTGCTGAAAATTGGCGGAATCGGTCCACAATTTCATATACCTCGCATAAAAAAGCACATATTTACGGACTTTTCTGACTTCCGTCAGAATGCTGATATCTTCACAAAATTTTACAGGTTCAAATAAAATGTGCACATTGAGAAAGTGTAACTGTTTAATTTTTTATGCTATTCAGCAACATCATGTTCAGAACCATCTCAATTGACATGTTTAATTATAAAACACGTAATGTTTTTCAGAACAGGAATGATTTTTTCCGCACTTTTGTTTATTGAACACAGAAAGAACAAAAAGTAATGTCAAAACCAAAAATTGAATTTACAAAAAAATATTAATCTTGATATTGAAACGATTTTAAAATGTTTTAATTTAAAAAATAATTGTGTTTTAATCATCAATTCAGTGTAATTTAAGAGAATTTCTTAATTAAAAAAAAAGTTATTTGGAAAAACATTTCAAAGCAAAAACACAATAATGTAATATGTGAACGGGTGTGTTTGAACTCATTATGTTTTTCAAATCACGTTAAAAACATGACTATGTGAACATAGTATTACTTTTCTGTATATGAAAGCTACACAGAAAAAATTAATACATAACTTGAATAAATTTTGTAATAAATTGAATGAATCGAACATGACTTTTTTTTCCCAAACCATTTTCATTCAGAATATTAAAAGTTCATAAAATGTATGAATTTGTACATTAAAGATTTTTTTGTTTTTTTGCTCATTTTTTTGATTTTCATAAAAAATTGGAATAAATATCCGCGTTACCTATTAATATCTTCCATTTTTTAGAAAATAATCACATATTAGCGAATTTTTATGATAAATAAATAAAATGTTGGAAAACAAAATATGAAATAAAAAAACATCAGCATATAGCTAAACATCCATTCTTCAGAAAATGCTGCATGTTACGCGCATATTTCATTGTTTTCAATCTAAAAATCATAAAGAAATAAAAAATTTTCCAAAGAAAATTTCAAACATTTTTTAACAAATAGAAAAATATAAAGAAAATTTTTAATATTTTAAGTCAAGGCTTCTAGATTATGTTTAAAAATATAAAAATGAAAAAATTCATACAATTTAGGAACTTATTCTTAAATATTATTAACTTTAGTCAATGAAAGCAGTTCATAATATTTATGCTGGAACTTTTTTCTGTGTATATTTCAGTAAAATTTTGTATCTATTTATGTATGTATGTATATCGTTATTTGGTAATAATAAGTTTGCGTCTAAGTGCTTTCAGTTTATAAAAGTAATGTTTGCAACAAATTTTGAATGGATATCATCATTTTGTAGTGATTTTCGGGAGGGGACCTTGTATGGGGGCTATGACCAAATATAGACCGATCCAAAAAAAATTTACAATAATATTTTTGTATATAAAGGCAATATTTGCGCCAAATCTGTGTGTTATGTGATTTTCGGGAGGGAGCTATGACCAAATATGATGTGTGCCAAATCTTGTATGGATATCTTAATTTAGCAATGAGTTATGTGCGTTTAAGTGATTTTCGGAAGGGGACCTTCTATGGAAGCAATGACCAAATATGGACCGATCGTAAATAAATTTTAAAATATCATTTCTGTGTACAAAAGTAATATTTGAGCCAAATTTTGTATGGATATCATTATTTGGTAATGAGTTATGTGCGTTTAAGTGATTTTCGGGAGGGGAACTTGAATGGGAACTATGACCAATTATGGAACGATCCAAAAAAAATTTCGGCATGAATTCTGCTGGCATAAAATTTTAATTTGCAAGATTTTGTAGAAACATCGACATTCTAATGAATGTTATTAAAAATAAACTCATTTTCCGGAAATATGTAAATTTATATGGGAGGTATATGAAATTGTGGATCGATTCCGCCAATATTCAACAGAAATAAAGCTTTCATGTAGAAATAAATGTGAGATGATTTTCATGAAATTACATTGCACAGTTTTTGTGAAAATTACATTAGAATGTGTGAAAAAAAACTTATTTTTTCGGAGTTTTTTTAAATTTTGATTCATATCTTTTCCCGATGTGAACCGATTTTCGCGATTCCATTGCTTCGTTTTAACGTGAGTGTGTTTTACACAGACAGACGGACATAGCTAAATCGACTCACAATTTGATGAGGACCAGGAATATGTATACTTTGTTGGGTCTCAGATGAATATTTCTTGGTGATACACAAGAGATAAAGTGATTTTTGCAAAATATGGCAATCTAATAAAAACTAAAATACCTTTTTGTAATCGGTTCAGCTCAGGAACGGTAATCGCTTCACTGTTTCGGGAATAATTATAAAACAAAACAAGGTTAATTTTGAGAGGGGTAACAAAAGCACGATTTTGCTTTTCATTTAAAGTGAGACGTCCGAAAATATTTAAAACTTATAAACAAATAAAAAATATATTTAAGCATTTTAAGACATTTTCATTGAATAAATAAAAATAAAAAATTTCAGCAACATTAAATTGATTTTAGCACTTATTCCCGTTGTCAATTTGACATAGTCGGGAAGATTTAGCACCTATTTCGCCACCTTCATGAAAACTAATATATTCATATTTACCAAACGATGTTAATAAGTAAATCTATTACAGATTCGGCAAACCGAGGAACTACCACCAATTGCATACGACAGCAATATAGACGTCGCCTATCAAGACTTTCGTCGTCTGTTAACACCCGTCCAGGTATTGCCTGGTGATAGACTTGTAGCTGAATGCATTTATGACAGTTCCTCACGGAAGGCAATAACACTAGGTAAGAATGGAACAAAATATATCTACATACATTGTATACGTAAATAATAATTAATGTATTAAGTATCTATGTATGTACATTAGGCCTGCATTAATTTGTTTGTTATCTAAAACATATCTGTAAGTGAGGCCTACATGCACAAATTTCATAAAATGTTAGACTTTTTTTAAAACTTTAAAGTTTATTCTCTCAAATGTCCTATTCCCAACTGGTCTTGTATTACGTATCGTTTATTAAAACACAGAATTCCGATATCTGCTTGTGAACAACGAATTGTATTTTCATATTGTAAAAAGCCACTTTGCAAAAAAAAAGAAAGAAAAACCATCTTTAATTTTTATAAAAATATAATAATATTGAAAAACTAAGTTAATTATAGCACTAATATGAATTATTTTTTAATTTTATTTCACTTTAAAGCACTATTTATATGTTTACTTTATGAAGTTATTCTTCTTCTGTTTTATCTTCTTAAAAATTGGGCATGAGAATGATAGTTTGACATTGACTAGCTTTTTTAACGGAAATTACCAACAACATCTTTACAAAAGATGTAAGATTTCTATAGATAAAAGCAATATTTCGCACAAATTTTGTATTTGGTAATGAGTAATAAGTGATTCTCGAAAGGGGACCTTGTATGGGAGCTACGACCAATTACGGATCGATCGTAAACAAATTTTACAGTATAATATCTGTATATAAAAGCAATGTTTGTGCTAAATTTTGTATGGATATTTTTATTTGGTAAGGAGAAATATGCGTTTAAGTGATTCTGAAAAGGAGATCTTGTATGGGTTTTCCTGTAGATAAAAACAATATTTGTGCCAAAGTTTGTATGGATATCGTTATTTTCGGAAGGGAGCCTTATATGGGAGCTATGACTAATTATGGACCGATCCAGAAAATTGTTTATTTGTATGAATTCTATTGACGTAAATTTAAATTTGTAAAATTTTGTAAAGATATCGGCATTATTACGGAAGTTTTTAACAATAAATACATTTCTGGGAATATGTACATTTGTATGGGAGGTATATGAAATTGTGAACCTATTTTTCCGATTTTTAACAATGTTGATCCTGGCACAAAGAGTTATATCTCTGACTAAATTCATCAATTTATCTGCAGTAGTTTTTGCAAAAAAAATACAAATTTATTTTAACGTGAGCGTTAAAACGAAGACAGACAGACGGACATATCTAAATCGACTCAGAATTTCAAGAATATAAATATAAATTTATATATACCCTCTATCGCCACAGACGGTGGTGGAGGGTATAAATATTTGTGTAAAATGTGTCTATTTCTCTTATTAATGTTAATCATGTCTGTTCTGTAAACCGAATCCGAGTAAATTTCTCGTTTAAAAACGAATTCTCATAATTTTTTTCGTTTTAAAACCGAGTACACAAATCTAGTAGAAAGTAAATCGATTTTAATTTAATTCAAATAAATTAAAAAATTTTTTAATACAATTGTAACTTAATATTAAAGCAATGGGCATTTTAAACTCTTTTTCATTTAAAATATTATTTTTCTGAATTTTACATTCAAATAAAAACTCGATTTGCAGAACACCAAAACAAGCTTTTCGGTTTTGAAACCGAATCGATTACAGAACAGACATGAATATTATTTATGTCAAATTAGTAATATTAAATAATACTACAATTTCAATTCCAAATAACTTCCAAAAAATAACATAAATAATATTTAAATCAAATAAAAAGAACATCCCTCCTATGACAAGTTTGTGTTAAAATCAACACTCCAGGTCTTTTTTGGTATTTCCATAGAGTAAATTCTACATCTTTTTCGCTTCCTTGGAATTTTTTTGCTGGGTAAGTGCTTTTACATAAAACTGGGGTTAATCATCGTTTTTCACTATCTAGTTAAATTTTTACAAAAATCACTATATATGTATGTATCTTTATTTTCATTTTCAAATTATTGTAAACATTTATCATAGTTAAACATTTGTTAAATTTAGTACATTATGTTAGAGTCTGTTAAGTGTTAGTTCCGTTTTACATGGTATAGTTTAAGGCGTAATGAAAATAAAGGATTTTGCAATTAAAGAAGTCTGGAGCTCAGTGCAACTGAATTACATGGCCAAGCTATATGAATTACGTCCAAACAGGATTTGTGAAGTGTTAGTCAACCAAGGAGGTTCAACACATTACTAAAATAGCTTAGTTTAATTTATATCGTTGTAAATAATCTAAATCAATATGTTTTAATTACAAAAGTTGCTATAAAATTACTTTTTCGGGGGGATGTTCTATTTAAGTGGCGAATTTTTTACAGTAGCTTTTTTCGGTTAATTTACAAGAAAAATTATATAAAATCAAATATCACAGATATGACAACCGTTCATATCATATTTTATTCAGAACAAAAAATAATACAATGGGGGGGGGAAAAACAAGTTTCCAGAAATTGCTGATCCAAAAATATAAGCTTTGAAAAAAAATTGATGTATGTGCTATTCAAGTGGCGAGGAGTGTATTATAAGAAATTTAAGTCCATCGTTTAAATATGATAATTTATAAAACCTGTTTATAGTGGAGGGTATTTAAGATTCGGTACCGCCGAATGAAGCACTCTAACTTGTTTTATTCTTAAATTTTCCCGATTTCTAAATAAAACTTCTCAACAGTTATCTTGTCCCTATAAAAAGTTAGACGCACCAAAGTTGCAACAAGTATAAAATGCGTATTTTTTAAGTTTTTATAGAAACAAATTTTATTCGGGATTATATATAATTTTTATATGATCCGGAAAGAGAACTTAATGTAGAAGAGTCTAAAATAAAATTTGGCTCATTTTAGCGGACACTTCCCCCACCAGCCCTATCCAAACTTGATCAATTTTGAAAAAATATTTTGATTTAAATAAAAAAAGTTAAAAATCATAGCACCGCTCTTCACAAATATCCAATATTTATATAGCCACATATGTTCCTTAAATATACACAAAGTATTTCTATATCACACGGTAAATAACGTCAGAATGGACACTTTTGTCAAAAAACACATTTTCCGCTTTAGAATTTCGGTATTTGTATATAGAAAATTAGATAACTGGTAATCTATATATGTCGGAAATTTTGTCCCGATATCTTTATTCGTTTCAAATTTTATATTTTTTTTAACTTTTTCGTAAATGGTGTCCTAATAAAAGATCCGTTATATTATATATCCATTAAAGTTTAATTCCTAAGTCATTATGCGTTCAATGATACCAAATGCTTGTATATAAACTTAATCGCCAGAAAGTTCACAAACTTATACTCCTTTAGATATTTTCAATGCTTTCTTATGATTTGCAAGCCAATTTCACTTATTATTCCTGCCCCTAAAAAGGAAAAATGTCCTTTGTAAGTCTAATTTTTATACCCTCCACCACCATCAGTGGTGATAGAGGGTATATATAAGTTTGTCATTTCGTGTGTAACACCAAGAAATATTCATCTGAGACCTAACAAAGTATATATATTACGGGTCCTTATCAAATTCTGAGTCGATTTAGCTATGTCCGTCCGTCTTCTGTCTGCCTAAAACACGCTTACGTTAAAACTAAGCAAAAGAAATAAACCAAATTCACCAAAAAATATTCACTGTTGTCCTAAGCAGTTTGGTATTGAAAATCAGCAAAATCGGTTCACAACGTTAAAAGTTATGAGTAAAAATTTCAGACTACCTCGAAAAAATTACGGGTTTTTTCGTAATTCTTAAGTCGTTTTCTCAGAAAATAGAAAAGATAATTCGATGAATTTTGTCACACATTATTTTTTTGCTACACTTTATTTTTTTACCCAGGGATCAATTATGTTGAAAATCGAAATAATAAATCCAAAATTTCCCATAGCCCCCATAGTTTATCATTAATAACTCCCTTAAATATATCAGTATCAACACAAAATTTTGTACATACAAAAATTTGTACATACAAATATAATATGAACAGAAATCATACTACCAACGTAGATCTCAGTTTTGTATACATACAAATCATTCTACAAATTTTTTTTACGGATCGGTCCACTAATGGTCATAGCTCCCATATAAGGCCCACTTCCAAAAATCACAAAAAGGACATATTTCATAGTCAAATAAAGCTATCTTGATAGAATTCGACACAAATATGTTTTGTCTAAATATGAATCACTCTACGAAACTTTTTCCGGATGGGCACATAATTGGTCATAGGTCCACTTCCGAAAATCACTTAAACGCATATATTTCATTGATGAATAAAGCTATTGTGATAAAATTCGAGTTGGATATGTTTTGTGTACATACAAATCATTCTAGCAAATTTTTTACGGATCGGTCCATTATTGGTCATAGCTCCCATATAAGGCCCACTTCCGAAAATCATTTAAAAGCTCATATTTCATTGTCAAATAAAGTTATCTTGGTAAAGTTCGACACAAAAATGTTTTGTCTTTATATGAATCACTCTACTAAATTTTTCCGGATAGGCTCCCATAGAGGGTCCACTTACGAAAATCAATTAGACGCATATATTTCCTTGAATAATAAAGCTATCGGGATAAAGTACGACTTGAATATGTTTTGTGAGCATATAAATCATTCTACCAAATTTTTTTTATGATCGGTCCATATTTTGAAATAGCTCCTAACTAAGGTCCACTTCAAAAAATCACTTAAACGCACATATTTCATTATCAAATAAAGACATTTTGATAAAATTCGACACAAATATGTTTTGTGTACATATATATTACCGGATAGGCCCGTAATTGGTCATACCTCCTATATAAAGTCCACTTCCGAAAATCAACTAAACGCACATATTTCATTAATTATTAAATCTATTGGAGTAAAATTCGACATGCTTTTTATATAAATCATTATACGAAATAATCGGTTCTTAATCGGTCCTTATTTGGTCACAACTCCCATATAAGGACCATTTCCGAAAATTACTTAAATACACATTGATAATCAAAGTTATGGGGATAAAATTCG